AGAGGCTGAAACCTTCAGGAGGTCATCCGCATTACTGCACAGCTCACCTGGCTTCCCGTCACTCTTCAATAAAAAGGACCAAATCTGAAACCTTAAAATGTCTTTTCCTGATTTTGTTTTATTCCCAGCAGCAGACAGAGTCCATGAAAGCCTCACACAGACAAGACACAGAGCAGGTGGGTTCACCTGGATTTGGTTTGCACAACTTGCTGGTCCCAGATCAGTCTCTAAATCGCCGGCCGTGCGTCCGCAGCCTCGCCCGTCACTCCAGGTATTTGGGGACGCAGCCCTCCAGCCCGATCATCTCGGGCCAGCCGTCGTATTTGTTGGTTGCCGAGTCGCTCTTCCTGTGCTGGAAGAGAGAGAGAGGAGGTGAAGAGGACAGACTAACATGCTGAGCAAGGCTACAGGCAGCACGGCGCTCTCCTCGGCTTCTGTAGAGCCGTTCACGTCTGACGCGTGTGCTCAGCCTGGTTTGTCTCGTTGTTGCTGCTATAGAGCACATCTCCTCCTGAAGACTGGCTAAGAGCTCAGACACTAACAAAAACACAACAACAACAAAAGAAGACGTGGAGATCAGTTCAGGATGGTTGTGATTGGTCAGGACTCACAGCCACGTCTCCACGATCAGGGGAAACCTGATACCTGCTCCCTCAGGGATCACACCTGCGTCCCGGGTCAGGCCCCTGATCCTCACCATCCCAGCATTTAATGCTTTACATGCACGAGTGCACACATTTCCACGATGAAGCCGGAGCCGGCTCAAGGCCTTCAGACTCATCTACCTTCTCAAAGCTGCTCTTCCCCGTTACTCCTTTGCCACCAACAAACACCCAGTTGTCCCTGTATCCCAGCGAGTGGATGCGAGAGCTTCCCAGTTCAGCAATCAGATTCTTGAGCTCGTCGTTCAACCTGCAGAAACACGCAGAGGGTGGAGGAGTGCGTTAGCAGCTTCGACACGGGTGGAGGCAGCGCCTTTCACCTCGATATGAAGACAACACAGAGACTGAGCTGACAGCTGAGACAAAGCCTCAGAAACACAAACTCCACCCCTGCCTGGAAAAGCTCTGTCCCGTTTATAAAACAAACGAACACGATACAGCATCCATGCTGCGTCTGGTCCTCGATTACTGTGCAAGAACAAGAACCCAGAGAGTCTGAGCTCCGTCAGAAGTGATCGGAGGAGGAGACTCTTACTTTGTTGAGGGTTCGTCGTAGGACGCCATTATAACGATGGAGCCCGTCTCGATGCTCTTCAGCAGCTCAATGAACGGTTTCACATCTGCAACACAAACATGATAAAAGCTCCGCCTCCAACCGCTGACACGAGTGGCTCGGGTCGTCTTCACTCACCTCCGCTGTACATGTTATAGTGATCCGTCTTCAGGACTTCTCCCGTTTTACCTGCCGGAGAAAAACGAAGGTGTCACCTCACACGGGATCACAGCAGAACACCAGGAGAAGCTCCGCCCATTCATTTGATGATTGAATGCATTTCCAAAGAAAATCTTAAGACTAATTCTTAAAAAAGTTTAGAAATACAGAGAAAAACGAAACACCAGAAAGCAAAAGGAAAGAAGGAGCCATCGATTCTTAATCAGCACCTGGAGCTGTGAGGCTGCGCAGGAAGCACGCTCACCGTTTAGGATAACGATGTTTATTCCTCCTCCAGCGTTGTTCAGCGCCGTTCCCAGAACCCTGAGGAGAGTCACAGTCTGCACGTCAGCACAAAGAAAACGTTTAAAACAAAGATGCAGAACACGACACAACAAGCATGCGAGGTCTGATAGGACGCCAGAGAGACACGCTGAGGA